CTACTCCAAATAGTAATTAAATAATTGATTAAATAATTGTAACTTTATTAAAACACTAAAGCTACCAAAAACCCATATAGCAATTGAAATTAAAATCACAATAAAAAAATCAATTGTGGCCAATATGAATAAAATCAACTATGTTCGTAAAATTAATATTTGAATTACATAGAAGAAGAAAGAACAAGGTAAAAATCACCCGACCGAGATATTCAAGTTTCATGACAACACAAGGAGTTGTCTTCCCCAAAATTGATATACATTGTACTCAAATGAATCATCATCCAATCAAGCACACAACATTGAAAAAATTATAAATTTGTATTAAGCCCAATATTGAATTCATTATATGCCTTGAATTACATTTTTTACCAGTAGTTTCCATCAAGTAGTTGGCTATGTAAATGGGATCGACCCAAGTTCAAAATCATCAGGCTTCACTTGGATAAAACATGAAAATAGGCAATTTCCTTGCTGTACAACAAAGTTAGGGATCTTAGGCGTCATGATGAGCATGGAAGAGGAACCAATTTCTATCAACAATTTCTACAAGAACATAGCATGAGCAACTCGTTGTAGGAACCACTCACTACAAGACCTGATTACATTAGTTGCAGAGACCAAGGAGATTAGACAATAAACAAGCTATAGGAACCTAATAGTGCTCCAATTGAAGAGAGAAGCTTCAAGCCACATAATCATTCATTAAACAAACAGTACAACCATGGAAAAGTGTATTGGGAAATCAAGCAAACCAAACTTAGAAATCAGAACACAAGAGAACACATCTTGTTCTCATAGGACAATCAGCACAAACATGCTTTAACGAATAAGCTTAAAATAAGTTCAAAACTATGAAATAGAAAATTATATAATAATATAAAATAGTAATCAATTTGCTATTTTTTTTATTTGAACATACAATACTTAACTTTTTTTTTTTTAAATATATACTTTTAGATCCTTATCGCTAAATATAGTTGTTTTTTTTTATTTAAAGTTTAACCACTAGATCATACAGTATTATGTTTCATTTATCTAAATTTAAAAAAAAACAAGTAAATTATTTATGTTTTCAAATTAGGTAAGTGTATCATATATGGCTTCTGAGTTCTCTTTTTGAAATCTAAAACCATATGTATCATTTGAAAGTATGTAACAAAGAGTTTTTTTGTGTGAAGTTGATTGCATAGGGTGTTGTGACTATGACATTAGTTGGAGTTAAGCATGCATTTGATTATAAGAATAATTTGATATCTTTGGGTGCTCTTAGTAATACAAAATCATATTCCCTTGAGACATTGCATTAGATCATTCCATCCCTCGAGTTTTGCAAGTGAGTTTTGGTTATCATGAAGGCAAATTTTATTAGTGAACTCCATGTGTTGTTGGGTGCAATATTATTGAAATTTCTTTAGTTTGGTCATCTGTAGTGGAGCATCGTGATCTGAGTAAAAAGAACAAAACAATTGCTTAGCTATAGGATAGATTCCAAAACAAAAATATGCATGGGTTAAGGGTGAGATTTTTGGAGATGATTTGACAAATCAATTTCAAATTGCATGATCTATCCCAATGCCAGGTGATACCATTATAATATTTAAAGCAAAGCGACAACCACTTTGGCCGTTCAAAAAATTTAATGGTATCTGCACTTCTTGTGTCGATGGATTTATCTTTGATAATACATCGTGCTTAGCAAATTTTCGGACTTTGTGAACTTAGATTGTTATTTGGGGTGCCACACAAATTTGATCAACTCATGATAATACATTAGAAATTTAATCTCCAAGAAAGTTGGTTATGCTATGGGGATTGATTCCAATTATATTCCCTCAAATTTGATTTTTTTTCCAGCGATACTTATGTTGGAAATTAAGCTTTAAATTTACTTATTTTAAAAATGTCAAATGTATTTTATTAATAGCTCCGACTTAGTGTATCTTCTTTAGAGTTTAAAAAACTCAGTTCCTAACTCCTTGTCAATAAAAAGTTTATTTGTTATTATCCTGATGATCAACCTCAAGTTTTTACTATATAAAATTCACGCAATTCTACAATTGTAATGCGCTTGATTAAGTGGAAATCCATCTCTCAATTCCCTTTGCTTGGTTGTTCGATTGAAATGAACCAGAAGCTTGCTAGTGATCTGACAAGGTGATTGTTGGGCCTTGATAAGGCTTACATCATCATTTTGGCTGATGAGAGCCATTTCAATAGGTGGCAACAGCAAAGATGATGGTGAGAGGATTTCTTCTCAGGGCTAATAGAGACTAGGAAGATAAGGTCCAATGAGCTGCAAGGTTGATGGAATTTTCGTGTGAGAGCTTGCGGTGGCTTATGAGATGAATATGCAATCAACATAGGTGAGGACATAGATTCATATTGTGTATGAAAAGAACTTTGGTCACAAGCTTTTGAGATAAAGAAAGAGGGATTGTTATGTACTATATTTAATAATTTTATATATTATTATATATTATTTAGGTGCATGCTATTTTTTAATGTAGAGTTTCTTGTTTTGACATGTTGAGTTGCTATTTTTTTAGTACGGAGATAAAACAATAATATTTGAGAAGGGATTAAAGAGAAGAGAAATATGAGAGAAAGAAAGGAGAAAATCATTGAGAGCTCCTATAGTAGTGTTAATTTTTCTATGATTTGATGGAAACTCCATTCTTTGTGGTCATTAACCTAGGCTTGCTTAAGTCAAATAAGTTAAATCTTAGTCTCCTTTTTCTTGTGCTTGATTTATTTATTTATTTATTTTGTTTAAATAAGTGTTCCTAAAGGCGGTATGCACTCTCAAGGAGATATACTTAGCGCTTGAGGAACTAGGCACTTGCTTGAGCAAAGTAAGATGCCAAAAAGTTCATATATTTTAATTATTAAGAAAACTTTTGGAGAGTATAATATAATAATTATCATATTAAAATATTACACTATAATAGTAGATAAATATATTTTCAAATATGATTTCTTTTCAAATATCAAAATGACAAAATATTGTCACCCATACTCTGATCACTAGATTTGCAGCTATCCAACTGCCCACATCATTATCAAAACTTGTTGTAGTAGGACTATGAAATTTTGTACCTACAATTGATTTTGCATACTGTCTGATGAGCAACATTTTTTCTTGTTCTTTATGCTCTTTCTATATTATCTCATGTCAAGTCTTCATCATCAATCATCAATTTATCTCCGACATAAAAAAATATATTATTACCTATCTCTTCTATCATCCACTTATTACTACAATCAATCTCATTGAAAGAGATTGGACCAATGGCATTATGCATCTCATAATGAGTCTTTAGGAGGTTGATTTTTCTTCCACATAAGCTAGATCATGCAAATTTTTTAATCTAATACACGTCCAGAAGAGATATTTGGAGTTGGGAAACATTGTTTTATATGTATTACTTCAATATAGGCTCTCATTTATATATTTTGATTTTGTATGATTTTATATCATAATAAAAAGACTGCGTTGAAGTGGCATGTCACATATAGCTTAGTGCCTTGCACCAAGGCCCCTTGCATAGGCAGCGCCTTAGTGATGGCATCTGCTTGGGAGAAGTACTGAGGCATTATAGCCTTATCATGCTCCAGCACCCAGGAGAGCATTGACAGCTTCTTTGATAATATTGTTTACATATATATTGTAGTTCATCTTATTCACTCATTGGTTAATGTTTCCACATAGAAGTTAAGTATGCTTTCTCAAGAACTTTAATAGATGTAGTGCGAGTTGCTTGCTTCAATCCTTAATTACGTGTTAGTGTTTGTCAATATAATAAGTATTATTTATTGATATGCTTATGCCATCATCTTTATCTATAATTTTGTTATTTTATTATTAGATTAGATTGTCCATCAGATTATGTCTACTATTATATAGTAGGAAAATGGTTGTGAATAGGATGGTTATGGCGTTTCTTAGGCATCCACCTTGGTGATCAATTCTTCCATCTTTTCTATATGAGTTTTTTCTTTCCTCTATCTATTTCTTGCCTACCTACCCTTGAAGTGTTAATTCTTCTAGGGTTCTTAATCCCTTTTTTCTCTTCACTTTTTTTATTTTTCCTCTGTACTAGATTCTTTCCTTCTTAACACATGAAGATACCAAAGTCCACCACAATTTCATTTCCACCCCCTTTACATCAGCATTTATTCGGGATTGGAATGAAGAATATGCTACTTAAAGAAGAATTTAGGAGATCGTTGATATTGCTTCTCTTTATTTATCATATACATTTCTATGTTAATTTTGTTTTGTTGGCTTGCTACTCCCATTATGTCTCAATAGTTGGTGCGTACATCCTATCTACTACATAATTACATGTTATGCTTAATGTTATTTTGATTTTTTTCTTAAAAATTGTGGGAAAGGCATTGAAATTTTTTATTGTTTTTTTTATTTTTTATTTTTCAGCACATGGGCTGTTAAACTGCCACTTAATGAATCAATAGGGATAACAGTGTAGAATTGGTAGCTTCATTTTCGCATTTTCATTCATTTGCCCCTCCGGCTATCCAGATCCTTGCACAGTTAGGCAATGTCTATGCATAGGTACCCGCTCAATCCCTACCCCATTCTGGTCATTGATTTGTGCATATGATGTTGTGCATTTATGAGATCTTTGTCCGATTAGTCTTGTTCGAATGTAGAAACCATAAGAAAAGGATGGATTGGTCAATTGTTGGAACTTATGGGAAGCTAAATTAACAAGTTTGTACATTGTGAATTTGTAAATGGTCTTTGGTAACAATGTTTCTGTAGGAGTTTGAATAATTATATCTATTTGATAAAATAATGCTAAAATTAGTGGCCTCATTTTGGCTTCTTCATGAGGAATCTATAATGCATGCAAAATCCACACAAGAAATTTAATTTTTATGCTACACATTTGTGCTAAACCGAACCATTTCTGATGATTGAATCCATTTAAGTGCTAATTTCATCACAATTGCTCTTTCTTTTAATGGAACAGGGTCTTTCAGCGGGGTTATTGAGGCAAGCTACTTATACAACAGCACGTCTTGGATCATTTAGGTAAGTCTGATTTTTCCCAGCAAGAGTTGCTTTTTATCGAAATTGGTCTGTTTCTTGCGAGTGTCTTGAACTCAGCTGGCAAATTGGTTTGGATTAACCAATGGCTGCATTTGTTTCTCTAATGTTAGAAACATTTGCTACTGATGTGGATGATAATTATAGACAATCGGTTCATAAAGTTCTTCATTTCGTTGGAAACAATTTTAAGAGCGTTTATTTCCTCTTCAACTACTGAAGTTTGCTTGCTTATGACTAGGGTATTGACAAACAAAGCAATTGATGCCAATGGGGGGAAGCCATTGCCTCTTCTTCAAAAAGCTGCCATTGGTTTGACAGCTGGAGCAATAGGTGCCTGTGTTGGTAGTCCAGCTGATCTGGCACTCATCCGCATGCAAGCTGATGCAACTCTGCCCGTAGCACAACGAAGGAATTATACCAATGCCTTCCATGCACTCTATCGGATTACTGCTGATGAAGGGGTTCTGGCACTCTGGAAAGGTGCAGGTCCAACAGTAGTGAGGGCTATGGCATTGAACATGGGCATGCTTGCCTCCTATGATCAGAGCGTGGAGTTTTTCAGGGATTCACTTGGTTTTGGAGAAGTTAGCACAGTTGTTGGTAAGAAATTGTCATCTTAGGTTATTACTATGGTCTTGCAATCCAATGCATCATGCATGTTATGAAACTTGATGATTAAATATGCATGACTTCATAACTCTTAAAGCCCTTCATAGCCAAATTTCTCAGAAAATGATAGTTTTATGTATAATGCAGATCTTATTACAAAGTGGTCTCCTGTTCGTACTTGGTCTATCAATTTGTGGACTAATTTTGTTAGTTTTGTGACCTATAGGAACATGATATGTACACATATTTGTTGGTTTTTTTTTTATAGCGGCAAGAGAGCTGAGCTATTTGTCATCTGCTTTATTCATGCTGCATTGATATGTGTTACATTTCTTTTCTTGCATTAGTTTGGACTTTGTATTTACATAAAACTAGTAATACGCAAACACTATGCATGTCAATATTATAAATTTATTTATGTAATTATGTACGAAACAAGTAAAAGTTTTGTGTGTCTATCTATTGGCCAAATAAAAAAATCAAACAAAACATTTAAAACAAATCTGAATGCATATTATGTCACATACTTCAAACACCATTATGTTCATATTGTTTTCATCCTCAATAGTGCATCTTTTTTATGTAAAATTTAATAAATAACATAAAAATATCTTCAACATTGTTGGAGAATTTTTGTATCCCTCAAACGGATTGCATATTTTATAATCGAGTACGGCATAAGAAGATGATATATTTTACCCCGAAGGATAAAAATATCATTTCCTTATGGAC